ATACTAGGCTTAAGCGAGCGCCGCGCCAGTGGTTTGCGAGCCTCGTTATCGATCGACCAAAAACGGTATTTGACTTATGGCGCGGAATCAGATTAGTGGCGAGCAATCGAGCGTACAGAAGTATATGCGGCAAAACTTCGCCCCAGGCGAATACCTGATGAATGGAAACAATCTAGTTAATGGCTTTGGCAGAAGCGTGCACTAATTGCAGTCATAAATTCAACTTGAATAACTTGAGAAATGACGTCAGGCAAAAGCCTGCTCGCTGATTGGACGATCTATATAATCACTCGATCTAATCACAATTGCTGCGACCTGCTCACTCATTGGCCGGTCTGGCTCAGTCAGCAGCCACCCACTTTCATATGGAAGTGACTATTTGCACATATAAGTGTGGCCAGTGCTGAATTTTTTCTTTGGCCACACTTATTTTGATTACGGGCGGATAATGCTGAATTTTTCCCTTCGCCACACTAAATTTTTCCCTTGGCCACACTTATTTTGATCATGCAACGCGTATGCACATGCGTTGCTTATGTCGTTATGCACCATAGATTGATTTTTGTACTATGACACGTACGCGTATTATTATAGGCCCCTATATAAAAGAAAGCCGAGTCGGTTTATAGTTAGTGTTAGGGTTAGGATTGGGGTTAGTGTTAGGGTTGGGGTTAGGGAGTAGGCAAAGGCGACTCGATCCTTAGACTAGCATTATATTACTATTATAACTATTATGCGTTATGCGTTGCATGTCGTAAGAATAGTTCATAAATAATTGTTACGACTGCATGGTCGTAAGAATAGCCACGGCGTATAAGTGTGGCCAGTGCTGAATTTTTCCCTTGGCCACCAGATTGTGCTTTGGATTTTTGTATCAAAAAATGTACTTTTTAAGTTTTTGTAATTAAAGTGATTACGTCACGAATTTCTAGCACCATCAAGTAGTATATTTGTGTGTTATTTGTACAAAATAAAATGTATGAAAATATAATTAGTGTTTCTGTTTACTTTTCATGCTTATATACCTTCTTTATATGCCCTAATTTGCAGGTGAAAAACAGAGAGACGCCAGTATCTGAACAATACTGGGAGAATAGTGTTAGACAACAGAAATTACCAAATCGTCTAGATTTTTGCAAATTTAACCAACGTAAAAACATTTTTATCAGGTGAGAGCTTGAGGATATATTTAGTAAGGTTAGTTCTTACTTTTAATGTAAAAAATGGCAATTTTTTGCAAATTTTACCGTGGAAAATTCGTGACGTAGTCAATTTAAACATGTTAAAGGAAATAATTAAACTTTCTATTTTCTTGTTTATCATCATGTAGCCTACTTCCTCAGGTGCTGTAAAGATGAAAGAATACTGTGGTGTGCCCACTACAGCACTGCAAAGTATGTCAGGAGAGATAGCAATATTCCAGTTGATGACCATTCCACTTAAAGAAGCTCTGTATTCATTATTTTGTCAGGTCTACCCAATAGGTGGCGCTGTACCAACTATAGCCAAAAACAGAAAAACAAAGGAGAAAAGTTTACCAATAATAACAACCACAACCGCAGAATGGGGAAGTAATACCATGAATACAGTCCCCCTTTAAAATTAGCTTTGGACGCTGGGTAATGGAGCTATGTGCATCTTGCCCACACTTATAAGTCCCGCTCGCCATGCCAGTTGATTCCATTCCGGTTTTTAGAAAGTACCACTTAAAATAAGTTTGGGCAAGGAAATTTTTTTAGCTTTGGGCGCACTTAAAATAAGTGTGGGCAATGGAGCTATGTGCATCTTGGACACACTTATAAGTGCGGCTAATGCAAAATTCGATCAATTTATTATCATTTTTTTTAAATCCTTCCCGCGCCTTCATACGCATAGCGCATGGTTACATATGGCGCATAGGGCGGTGCCTATCTCCATTTCAGTAACCCTGAGGCCCCGCAGCTGCTTTCCCAGTAAATGCTACAGTACGGGGTTAGTCCACTAGCTGGTAGCACTGCGAGTTAACTTGCCACACTCTATCTCTATTTGCTTAATGCTAAGCAGAGAAGCCGTGTGTACCATTTTTCAAGTCTTAGGTATGACCCGGCCGGGAGTTGAACCCCCGACCTTCCACATACGAGGCGAGCACTTAATCATTGAGCCATCGCAGTGGTAAATTTTTGTGTTTGGACGCACTTAAAGGGAGAGTTTACTCTAGGTTCTAGGGTTATTTTCAGCTAATTTAGGTTATAAGCCCTAATTACGCTACATAAAAAGTAAATATTTTTTTAATGTTTTAAAACTAACGAACGTACAGTTTGATTACAACGCGGTGGGCGCCCAACTCAAAAGCGCACGGAATCTGCTAAGTTGCGCAAAACCACTTGTCCAGCAAGCGCGGCTACAGAGCGAAGGCGTGTTTTTCTATTTATTCATTTAAAAGGCAAAAGGAGTTGATAAATTTAATATCTATAAACGATATAATAGTTTCAGTTATAATATGGATAAATTTGCCCTAAAATGAATATCGTTCGTTAAATAGGGTATAAATATAATTGCACTTTTGTGATTAGCCCTCGGTCTGTAACGTGCAAAATAAATTGTCAAATACGCAACTTTTTCGGGGTGGCAGCACCGTCGCTAGTGTCATGGTGCCGTTCAAATTTCGTAGCGTTGGTGTGTAAACTGTAATTAATTATACCAATTAAATTAGGTATCTGGTAAGAAATACGTGTTAGTATAGACGATTTGTTATACAGTAAATACAGTTGTATGCAGCAAAATCCTAGAGGCTACTGTCCCTTTAAATAAGTGCCAATAACAACGGCCCTTTCATATAGTAAAGGGTTAACGCTTTGTGAGTAGGCCCTCTAGCGGCCGTTACGATCAGGCGCGATAATCATTAACGTTAACCTCATTTTGGGCCGAGTTCAGTCATTTTTATGGCATTTCGGTGGATTTTTTTTTTACATTTCAGCTTTGGACTGCTTCTTTCGCTGCCTTCCGGTGGAATTCAATGTTCTCATGGCGCCTTTCGGTGTTTTTTTTAGGTGCCTTTTGGTGATTTCCGGTGCCTTTCGGTAATTAGACGGACCGGCTACGTCATGCTTATTTTCTATTTATGGTACGCAGTACTGTAGTCTAGTGAAAGTGTGTAACTTTGATACCGGCAGGTTTTTGTGATAACAAGCTGGCTTTTTTCTTGGATAGTTGTTTCTTGAAAGCAATTGATGAGGAGTTTGTTCAGCTCGTGACAGCAGATGTCGATTTTTGGTTGCGTAACGTTAAGAATCGCCCTAGGTAAGTTTGAGTCTAGTCACAGTCATCATATTCATGAATCATCGCATCGGTACGGCCACAGCCTCAGGCTCAGGCATAGCTCTAGTACTATAGCCCGCTTACATTGACTGCCGCTGGCGGAGTCAGAGTCAGAGTCAGTAAAAACTGAAAATAATATGAACGCACATTCACAAATAGGCCATACTACCGTACCTCTTAATTACAGTTCCGCTGCGAGTGTGCTGTGTTCGTTTTTATGAAGGAAAGTTGATATACAGTGACGCAACAGTGGAACTGTAATTGAGAGGGTACCCGTACCCAGGGTACCCTTCGATAGTACCCTGGGGGACATAGACCCTATCAGCGATAGTGACACATGCTGTTAGCCTCTTAGTAGTGCTGCCAGGGTCTATGTCTCCCTGCATGGGTACTGCTGGAACGTACCCTGCCGGAACGTACCCTGGTACTATTTAATATGCCGGACCGTACCTCGCCTACTCCACTAACGAGTCTAGGGAGTCGCCTACTCCCTAAGCCCTAACCCTAACCATATCAGATAGTTACCAGGGTACGTTCCGGTATACCGGACCGTACCCAGGGTACGTTCCGGCAGTACCCAGGGAGACATAGACCATATCAGCCTTAGTAGTACTAGATGCTTATAATTTATAGTAAGAGGTGATTTGTAATTGTTTATCAACTTATGAGAAGTTACTACCCTTCTTCGAGTAGTAGACTGAATATGGAGTGAAAGCAACATCATGAACATGCAGCAGTCCATGAATGCTACTGCTGGAGTGAAAGAAACTCCTGACCAGGGTTCTCCCCAGGATGAAATTCAAACAGGGGGGAGGGGAGGGGAAGGGGGAGGGGGGGAACTAGGGAGGCGTGTTTTTTTACCATACCACTAATTAATGCGTAAAATCGCCACCACACCATAGACGGTATTTGGGGTTCTTGTATATATAAGATAGCCGAGTCGGTGTATAGTTAGTGTTGGGTGTGGGACAGGTTGACTGTTTGTACTTGTGTATTGTCTGCAGTGCATGCGTGGTACTGTAAAAATACACGCGCCTGGTGTCCTGGTCGAATGGTACTTCTTGACGATCGATTCCCGCGC